TGGGGTCAGTTTCAAGGCTTTGGCACAAGCCCAAAACAGCAAGAGGATGCTTAGTTACCCTGCAGTAGCACCAGGTGTTTTGCGAACCCAGAGAGATTAACAGCCCCAGGGAAGAGGATCAGATTTCTGAGGGACTTCTGTGAACTGGAAATGGAAGGGCAGTGCAGCCAGAGCAAGGACTAGGAGTTGCTCACTCGAGAGAGTTAGACAAGGACTCAGGCCAATAGGGGCAGCTGGTGTGCGTGTCTGCAAATATGGAAGAAAAGGGGTTTCTGGATCCGGGACTGTCACCTGCTTACTAATGATGGGGGTGCGGGGTTGTGAGCGCTCTGTGTGTGTGTGTGTGTGTGTCTGTCTGTCTGTCTGATTGCTGTTTATCTAAACATGTGAAAAACAACTGGGATGTATCTTCAGGAGTCTGAAATGTACTTAGCATGAGATAATACTCCCTTTATTCCCAACCCTGGATGAGATCCTAGTTAGATCTTGTGTCTACTTTTAGGTTTAAATAAGAGCAGACACTGAAGACCTGGGGAAGATTCAGGGTCACACAGCCTCATGGAAATGTAATGAGAACCACATATATAATGTAAATGTTCTTATAGGGAAATGATAAAATTAATGATAATACAGTTAACCCAGTCAATCTTAAATAGCATCATTGAAACATATAATCAATGCAAAAGTGATAAAGTGATTAATGAGGCCTTATACATTCTCTATTTCATACTAAGGATTTGGGGTTTTTGTTTTTTTTTTTACATTTTAAAAGAACAGGTTTAATAGGAAAAGGAGAAAGAAAAAGGCACCTGCATAGTCACAGGCAGGCAGGAGAGCAACATGCTAAGGATTTGAGATCAAATGTGTGACATTTTACAACAGATTCCATTCCATTGGCCATACCCCATGTTCAGTAGATCCTGTGACTGCTGGCGGCCATGCTGGACAGCATCTGCTCAGAGGAACAGAGAAAAAGATGTGCCTGGTTAGAAAATGGGGCCAGGGAAAGAAAAACACACCTATTGGGGAAAAAAAAATCTAAGCATGAAGAACCCACAATATGAAGTGCAAATCCCCGTAATAGATACTGATAGTTTCCATCTTCACTTGAGGGTTCACCCCATGCCACCCCATTCTACCCCCAAAGTTTATATTTCAGCTACATTGAGATGTTTGATTTAAATCTAAGGAATGCATTTCAAATGGGGAGAAATTGGATCTTTGCTAATAGGATAAATGTTTATCTTGCCTTCTTCCTTTCTTTATTCCACAAACATTAAGAAACCAAAACATTCCTACCTCTCAGGGATGAATTAAGCTTGTCCAGATGTGAAGGCTGTGAGGATGATTATCCTCCGATTTGGGAATAACTGGAGACCAAGGAAGGCCTTGGCTGGGCTCCTAGGATCCCTTCCAGGACTGGAAATCCCCAAATTAATGATTGGATCTTATCTATTACTATACACCGTATCTTTTGCATGAAGAAAAAGTATTCAGGAAGAGAAGTTCCAGTGCATATTTCCAGAAGCATCGAAGCCGGGTATCGGCTGTCATGGCCAAGCCTGCTTCTCTCTGGTCATGCTCAGGAGCGAGGTGAAGCATCAAGCTCAGATCCTGAGCAGCTCAGCACTCAGTGGCTTTGCTTCCTTCAAACTTCCCTGAACCTTAACGTTCCCTTTTCTGCCCTCCCCAAATCACAGGACTTTTGCAAAATTTAGATGTCTAAACACCTCTATGTGCATTGAAAGCTGCTTTAAAAAAAGAGTTTTCTGGAAGAAAATAGTAAAATATCAGGTCCTCCTTACTGTGTTTGATTCTCTAAGCCTCATTAAAGGGCCAAGAGATTGCTAAATAATTAATTCCAGTCAACTGGGATGGTTGGCTGAAGATACTTTGAGCCTTCTGTGAGCTCTGGAGACCATGTCAGGGGATTGTCACGTCCTCTTTCTGCTGCGTGACCTGAGGTCATGAGACCACCAACCGGAATCTGGAAATACTTTGCTTTTTTATGAGAACTTTTACATTCATGAGGTGTGACTGACATCAGGCGTGGTACACTATAGCCCAAGAATCTCAGTATTGCACAACTGAGGTCTTCTATAGTCTTGCTCCCCAGAGTTGGGCCAACAGTTTGTACTTCACCAATAGAAATGTAATCCCAGGAGGTAGCCCAGACATGTCAAGTTTGAATCTGCATTTTTCACAGCACCCTCGGTCATCACCACAGACATTAGCCTCTGGGAAGCTCTGCTCTCTGACATCCTCCCTAAGAACAGTCAACTCAGTCTCAGCTTGACAGGCAGCCCCGTCCTCTCCAGTCACCCCTTGTATTGATGGACACTTGTCACTTTTACAAAGCTTTCCCTGTTATCAAGTCAAAATGTGCCTGTAGATCTCACCCACTGAGGGCTCCCAGAATGAGTTTCATTCTGCATCCACATGAAAGCCCTCAAAGCAAGTGCTGGGAAACATCACTGCTTTTCTGTGTTCTGCAGAAGCCTTGCCCCCAGGCAGGATGGCTAGTCAGTGGGTCACAGGGGTTGGGGTGGGGAGGTCAGGCTTGCAGGTCCTGAGACACTGTTGAAGGAGTAATCAATGGCCTCTTCTTCACCCCTGCCAGACCCCCAGGGGACTGGTTTAAGTGATTGCAACTTGGAAGGGGGTTAACGAACTTGAAATTTTCCCAAAGAATAAAAGTATAGCAGTGATATAAATAAACAAGAATGAATGTATGCATACATGCATGCATAGAAGTGATGTTTCGTCTGGGGTGGCAGTTGGTCTGGCAGGGCATGCTGAAGCCTGAGCGCGTTAACAGAGGAGATGAACAGGAGGGAGTGATGTGGTGGAAAGAGCAGCCTAGCAGCTTTGCCTCTCACCAGCTGTTTGACACTGGGGCATGCACTAAACCCCCCATGATCATCCTGGATTTGAAAAGAAAATGGAGTGATAAGCTCTGCCCTGCCTGTATCCAGGGTTTCTGTGGGACTCATTGAAGATCATGTCACTGATGATGTGGAAAATGGTTCAAGGATGAAAGAGAAGGGCTGCTGGGACCGTAGATGAATCCAGGGGACTCACTGTGATTGCAGGAGAGGCCCCACCCTCTCTGGGGTTCTCTGTGAAACGGATGGGTCATGCACAGTCTCCGAGAGCCCTTCTAGCAGGCCCTGCAGTTGTGGCTTCTCCCTACTGGTGCGTGGTAACAGAGGGTTTCTCCAAGGTTGACCCTTCAAATAGTCGTGTAGGGGGGTTTCGGGGAGCTTGGAATTGAATGAATGCTCTCTGGGGAACTGATTCCCAACCCTCTACAGAGCCCTGACGTCTGCTGTGGGAGCCCCACTTAAAATACAGGTCTACTGGGCCATGACTGCACCTGTGTTTCCACATGTCTGCATGTGGTCCCCGAGCTGGTGAGCAAGGTTTCATTGCTGTGACTGTGTCAGCACACAGTCTGTTCTAGAAGCAAGCTCTGCCTTACTAGATGTCTGAACTCCTACCTAGCTAGAGGGTGTCATGTGCAGATTATTCCAGGATATAGTCTTGTTTGGTACTTCAAGTGTCACCAAGAAGCTTTTCCAGGGCCACCCCTGGTGGCGCAGCGGTTGAGCGCTGGACTGCGAGGCTGCCCACAGCCTCTGCATCTGCATCTGCAGCGCCGGTTCGTTCCCAGGCTACTGGCGAGGGTCCCACAAAAAAAAAAAAAAAAAGGAAGCTTTTCCAAAGCATTATTATGTCTCTGTTTTTGTAAGTACCAAAACATGGCCTAGTAAAAAGTTTTTTGAGCCTGCTCTGCCCAGAGGAGGCTTCCAGTCAACAAAATAAGGAGCTGGCTTTTGGTACAGCAGCCCTTCCACAGCTGCTTGCTGGCTGAGAGCGACAGGACCAACGTGTGATTATGGAGGACGTGACTGTCCCTTCAGGCAGCCCCTCTGTGTCTACCCTGGCAATCCAGGGACCCTGTGTTATTCATTCTCCACTCACTGTAGCCATGTTCCCAACTTCTCATTTCATTGCCTGGATGCTTGCTTCTAACTCTGTACATTGCATTTTCTCCTGTGCACCCACTGTGTTGTCATGGGAACTCGGTGGCCATAGGCCATGAGTATCCGGTGTCATCGAGTATGATGGTGTGGTATGTGTATTTGCTCACGCTTTTATTTTGAATCCTTTCCAATGTGACATCTGCTAAAATGTCTCCCTTATAATTTGCTTGGTGATCACAGCCTTCTCATCATTCATTGAGAGCAGGACCTGATCTCACAGAATCTGAAAAGAGCTATGTGGTAAGATACCTGTTGAATACGACTGCAGCTTTCTAAAGAGAATCCTTACTGACTTACAGAGTCTAGAATGGAGAAATGCCTGGTTCCCTCACAGAGCCATTATTTACATACAATTGTATGGCTATCGTAGTAGAGAGATGTCAGGCCACCCCCTTCCCTCTCAAAAAAAGCAGAGGAATTTAGAGACAATATTTCTACTCTGCCTACTGGTGGGATTAAATTGATGTCTAGTGCATGATTGGGGGTACATATTTGTATTTCTAATCCTGAAGTTGTTCCATTTGTAACAGTTACTCACTAATTACCAGCTTTTATGCTGCTGCCTTTTTTTTTTTTTTAATATTCATACTAAATCCCAAATTCTTCTGTATCTCACCTGTTTTTCCATGCTTACGCCTGGATCCCTCCTGCACTCCACTACTGGAATATCTATTTTTTTAACCTGGACCTTCAACTCTGTTGTTTCCTTGGACTTTTGTGCTTCGTCTGGAATGTTACATCTCTTCCTCTCTTTTCTTTTTTTTTTGTCCCCATGTTGACTGTTTTATGGGGGTTTCTGGATATCTTGGGGCCACCTCACAGGAAGCAGTTTGCAATGAGATCATAAACATTGCCGAAAAGTCTGTTCATTACTGCAGCACTGTTTCTCATCCCCTTGACTTTCATCACAAAGTATCCCCTTCTGACAATAAATCATCTTTAATCATTTCTCAGCAACCTCAAGCCCAGCAGCGAAGAGTCATCCCAGACAGGAGTCAAACCTCACAAGATTTGTAAGTACACTTGGCAAACTTCCGTTCTCCTTAATAGACTGTTGGCCATTGGGTCATTGAGTGACTGGGGCAGCCATTGTGGGGAATGAACAAATCACTCATGGCTTCTCTAAGGATTTCTTGTCAAGGCCAGTTTCCCATCAGCCAACGTGAATGTAGGTACAGGGTAAACAGAGGCGATCACTGACTACTGGGAAAGACAGGTAAAGAATTAACTCATCCAAGGGTAAAGGAGAACTGTGCTGACTTGTCTCAGGCCAAGTATTATGGGACTTCAGAGGAATTCTGACTGGAGAGGAATCAATATGGTTGATCCATCTTTCAGAAGAAAATTATTGGATTTCTCCCATATTTTGAGCACAAAGGCATAAACTCCATTTACAGAGGGAGATTTAGAGTCAGCACTAAAAATCAAATTGAATTTGAGCGCTAAAACAGGGAGATAACGGGTCTTCCCAGTTGAAGATACCATGTATACAAAGATGTGGGATAAGAACGTCTTTGGAGAACTTTGAGAAGGCCCAACTGGCTGCAGCATACAGTACATGGAGAAACAGAGACAAAGCTCAAGAAGTGGGTTGGGACCAGATTGTAGAATCCAGAATGCAGTTGAAATAAGTTTGGGGTTTTTTCTCTAGGTAGTAGGAAGCCACTGAAGGTTTATGAAATGAGGAATATACTGATTATATTTTCTTTTAAGGAGATAACTCTGGCAACAGAGTAGAGGGTGGATTTCAGAGATAAGGACAAAGATATTGATTAGGAGATATTAACCCAGGGAAGAAGTGATAAGACCTGAGCTAGAACAGAATGGGTACTTCCAGACAACAGAATTGTTAACTCGTTACATAGTGGATGCTTGGAAGTACAGCAGCAGTTGTGTGTTTATAGCCCAGGGAAGGGATTTCAACATGGCTAGGAGTAAGGCCCCTTCCTCACACGTGGGCATGGGGCAGGAGGGAGGGTGGAGGTACAGACATTTAAAGTGCTGCCCACAGCAAACTTCAACTCAGGAGATGGGGGCAGAGTTCAGAGTCCTCTGCAGAGAGTTGGGTACCAGAATTGGCTAAGGAGGTGGAGGAAGGACTCAGTGGAACAGTATCCTGAGTATCCAAAATTAGAGTGGATCAGGGAACTCAAGCAGCAAGGTTAAGAGACCCTCTGGCCAGTCTCCACCCACTGGGAGTGAGAACAGAGAAGCAGGGGTACAGAGTTATTTCCCAGAGCTAAGGCTAGCAAAGCAGGTTCTGTGGAAGTTAAAGGTTCTGAGGAGTCCAGGTTGGGGAGGAGAATGCAGCAGGCACATACCTGCGTACTGGCAATCTATCTGCATCTCTGAACTTCTCATCTGAGACCTTCCTTCTAGCAGACAGATCCAGCTATCCAAGTGTCAGTACTTTTGAATAAATATGTAAACTTAATTGTCCCTTTGGTTTTAGCAGAGGAAAATGAATCTCCTATTTCTGGGAACTGACTCCACTTACTTGTTTCAAGTCTCTTTTGTCCACACACTGGAATTCACTGACATGTACTGGAAATGGTAAAAGGCTGACTCATTTGCAAAGTTTTGCCTACTACTGTTGTGTTTTATAATAGTGAGTAAACAGAATTGTTAACTCTTGCACAGTGGATGCTTCTTAAGTATTTGTCAAAGGGATAAACGAAAGCAAAGCTTTTCCTTGTTGCCAAAGAAATATCTGATTCCAGCATAAAGCAGTCCTGCTTTCTCCAGCCACAGCCTTTGTTACTACAGACAAAATAACACAGCCCAAATTGCCTTAGACTAGCCAGTCCATAAAATCTTCATCCCAGATATCACTGGGATAGAAAAAATCAGAATGCCTTCAGGAGTTTCAGAAAAAATGACATCCACATTAAAAGCATTGAATGAAATGTATTTGGGCAGGTGAAAAACTAAAGAGGCTTTGCTAAACAGAGAGGCAATTGGAGTGTCCTTTTTATATATTTTGTACATGTAATATACATATTATTTATATGAAGACAGTTGCCTTTTGCTATCCAGTGCATATGACCAGAATAAAAATTTCCATCTTTGAACCCAAGTAACTTCTGATTATCCTTGATTGCCCCTACCTATATTATGCTGTTAAGACAAGTCTTGATTAACTTTAGTGTGGGGGAGGGGAGTGATATCTAGATTAAAAAGCTTGGCTGTAGTAATCAAATGAAATCAAATAAAAGGACTGGTCATGACTTTCTTTTCTGACCTTCCCCATCTCTCTTGTAATGTACTTATCACTCATTGAATGGATCTCACCAAATGCTAAATTAGAGAAGTTGTCAATAAAATACGTATTCCGACTGAGTAGGAAACACTGTCTAAATGTTGATTTAACTGAAATGGATTATAAACACACCCCCCCAAGTTATTTAATCCTATCAGAACTTGAGTCATTTAATATTTATTTTTCTCATTTATAGATTTAGCTACCAAGCATTATATAGCTATATACCACAGAATGATGATGAATTGGAACTCCGAGATGGAGATATTGTTGATGTCATGGAAAAATGTGATGATGGATGGTTTGTTGGTATGTAACTTACTTCTCATGCTTTTCTTTTTTTTTAAAGATTTATTTTTATTTATTTATGCATACAAGAGCTGGGGTATAGGCCAGAGGTGCAGGGGAATAAGAGGATTCACCCGAGAGAGTGGGGAGCAGAACAGGCAGATCTACTGAAATACACTGCTGAGGGAAGCAGCAGGCAAGACAGGAGAGGTCTGCTGCACCACATAGGTTAACTCTGGGCGGGGATCAAACTCATGCTGCAGTGGCTGGCATAGCTTGATAGTGCTGAGACTTAGCGCCTTGTGCCACCAGAGAGGCCCTTTCTCTTGCTTTTCTTACAAGTCATACCTTGAAGGCTTAACTCGGAGTGATGAGCTATGCAAAATGCACTATTCTCTGCACAGAAAGGAGAGCTTTCTCAGTTCTTCTGTCACCATTAGGAATGTTGAGCCACCCAGTCTATGTTTGCTCTGAGTGACACTGATATTGGACCTAAAAAACAAATTATGTCAGTGCTATACATGCAAGTGCAATTACCAAGTTCATTGAGTTCTGTTATATTTCTATTATTCATATATCATTCTGCACTTAGAAATTCTGACATTATTATATTGCCATGTTACTTCAATTTTTAAGTGTTTTAAATAAATAAATAAATGTTTTTAATTAAAAATTTCTTATGAAAGAACACAAGAAAAATTAAGCCTAGGTCTCTTAGGAAACTTAAGCATTTATATAGATATTCCAAAGATAATATTTATTCCATCCAGCCTTCTAATAACTTTAATCAAAACAATATGCTTAATTAAACAAAGGATTTACCTTTATAGAAGGGGAAGATAAAAATCAACACTTACTGAGGTTCTGTTATAAAACACTTGATATAGTTTCTTATTGAGGGTCTCTCAGTAAGAAAAGAATTATCCTCATGTGACAGATTGAAAAACTGAGGCTCAAAGAAATTAAGGAACTAGCCCAAGGTCACCCAGATGGGAGGGCTAGTATTTGAATTCAGGCCTATCTCTCCTCAAGCCTGTGTTCTTTCTGTTCAGGTGTGAATGTGATGTGGGGCCATCGAGCCTTTGCCTTCATTTCCCGTGTATGGGTGGCCATTCCTTTATCTTCTTTCCAAAGACTGCCTCTTTCCTGAGCCCTCTGAATAAGCTTTGCTGAAACAAAGTAATGTTGATGCTAGAGTAGTGAGAACAGCAAGACTTCAGGGTAAATAGAAGCCAGAAAGATTTGCCATGCCTCATCAGCCTCTTAAAAAGTTCCCCATCCTTCCAAGTCTGCAGACGCCTGCAGCCTCAAGTTCTGTTCAGAAAGAAACCAGATCTGAGAGGCCAGCAACACTCTAGAGAGGTCCAGTCCAATAGAAACAATGCAAACCACATATGAAATTAGAAGTTTTCTGGAAGCCACATTGAAAAAGCAAAACAAAACCAGTGAAAATTTTAATAATGTATTTTATTAAACCCAAGGCATCTGAAATAATACCATTGGAACATATAATCAGCATAAAAATGTTGTTAGACATTTCCCGTTGTTTTCATACTGAGTTTTCAGAAACCCCTGTGTGTTCTACAGGTTCGGAAGAGCTGGGGTCGTAGCCACGGCCCAAGTGCTCTGCAGCCACATGTGGCCATGACTCTGAGTGCAGCCCTCACACACCATAGCGTATAACTCTTCAGGGTGGGGCTAAGGGGACTGATTCTTGAATGGGGGCATCCTTGGCAGCTAGGTAACGGAAATCTTTTGGATTCCTGCATTCCTCAAACACTTCAGAAAGCCACCTAGTGTGAGACTATGAATAAAGAAACCCAGCAGAACTTCTGTTTCTCATGCACTGGGAAAGGTGCCAAACTGCTCTATGGCACATATCTGGGCCTTGGCATCTCAGGCTTCTGCAGCCTCCTTGACCATACCCTGCCTTGGGGCTCAACTCCTCCTTTTAGATGTCTCCAGCTTTACGTATTCCTTCAGGCCACAACTCCAACCCACTGGTAGTAGTAGCTCCTTGAAATGTAGTGTTCCACAGGATTCTGAAGCCATGTCCAAGGGGAAAGGATGAAGTGATCAGATCGTGATGTCTGCTAATGAAAGGGTACTGAAGGCACAACTTATGTCTGCTCCTCCTCGCTTTAGAGAGAGAATCCAAGGGAAGGAAGAAGGGGTGAGGGATCCAGCAGTGCTGGGTATAGAGCAGCCAGGGAAGGACTTTGTTCCTAGATGTGTTCCTAGCTAAACTGGAATCCTAACAAGGTTGATATTGGAGACAGGGAGTGGATTTGGGGCTTAGGAACCAACTTATAGGACAGATTTCCTTTTGATGTGTGGTCCTATCCAATGAGCTATAGAGATCCTATAGTTTAGAAATTCTAAATCCCAGGTATCTTGGGTTTGAATCATGTGTGTTAATTCCTCCAAAAATGAGAACAATGGGAAAGAGCCTTGGGTCGGGAGCCCATAGACTTGGTGCAAAGTCTGCCTCTGATGTTTATGAAGCTGTGGGACCTCACAGTGGCCCTATAAAATCCTTGATCCTAGGGTTCCTCATCTGAAAAGCAGGAGTATTAGAAATGCCTGCTTTACTCTCCACCCGGCCTTATGTTGCAGCCGCAGTGAGATAAGGTAGGGAAGAGTGCTTTGGCAATCACAAGCGATTCTGCAAGCTCTGGTACGGCTTTGGGGAGACGCTCAAGGCTCACATGGTGAATCTTCTCATCTGCATATGTGGTTTTTTTTTTTATAGGTACTTCAAGAAGGACAAGGCAGTTTGGTACTTTTCCAGGCAACTATGTAAAGCCTTTGTATCTATAAGAAGACTGAAAACCACAGAGATTATTTTTATTGGAGGATGAAACATAATTCATGAACCCGTCTCTTTATTTAAATGTCGAGTCTGTAGGAAAACTAAAGCAGTGGAGAAGGTAAAAAGTGAAAGAAAGAGACAGAGAAGCATTGTGTTTAAAATCTGAGCCTGTCTCAGCATACTGTGTATCAGACAGGGTTGAGCCATGCACTGAACAAAAAGGAATGAGGCAAATCTGTATTTACTTAGCTGCTTCTGGGAGCCATCCAGCCTTCCCCTCCTCTCCTGCTCTTGGGTAATCTGACCTGCAGCACAGTCCAGGAGCAGTTAGGCCAGAAATGCCTCTTATTATCCCAACCTCGACCAGCTCCCGCTCAAAGGGGCCCTTCCGCATGAAGCAGCCCTTGCGGTGCCAGGCAGACCCCCACCTTCTCCAGAGACCCCATACAAAGCTTTCCCCAGCTCTCACCCCCAGCTGCCCAAGAACCCGATGACTCCCCAACACTACTGATGATCGGCCCTGGGCTGCTGAAGCTGTCCTGTTCCCCTAAATGTCCCAAGACCGAGTCCCTCGCTGGACCTGCTGAGGAACCCAGGGAAACAGAGGCTGATTGTAGATGCTCTGTGCACTCAGCCTGCACGCAGCATTGCCATCGCCAGCCCTGGGGTTCACGCAGAAATGCACACAGGTTTTGCTGTGGGAGCGAGGCATCCAGGCACAGAGGTTGCGTTTGTATTTCCAAATGATTAAGTTAAGAAGCCCTGAGCTCTTGAGGTCATTTGCAGTGTCCTGCTTTCCCATATCACTGGCTTCTATAAATGATCACCTTCAACGTGGCAAGTTGCATTTATCAGGACACTATTGCCAACTTTTTCTGGTGTGTTTTTGGCTGGATCAGTCTGTGATGGACAACTCACAGAGAACTACGGGAGGTGTTCAGTGATTCATTTCCACACACTGATGTGCACTGGATGTCGGGGACACCGACGCGCGAGTGTGCTCCAAGCCTTGGAAGAGACTCGCCGTGTCTCTGTTTCCACTCCCCCTGCAAGTTCGAGGAGCAAAAATGCCAGAACCCAGGGTTATGAATCCTGGCGAGACTTCTCTTCATGGCACAAGGTGCAGATGCTGTGGTCCCCGAGGATGAGGCCCAGTTCTGTCACTCCCAGGAAGGCTGCACTTTGTGGGGTCAGACCTGAACAGGGAGGCCCCTGGGGTGTCTGGGCCAACACAGCTCTACCCAATTCAAGGATGCTTGTCAATCTCTCTGTTCCAACAGACAGGGGAGGATAGAAATGATCCATTCCCTACCTGTTGGGAACTCAGAGGTAACTGGGGAGACAGATATTGAATCAAGAGAGACTGTGATATGTGTGAAGAAGGATGTGAGAGAGGAAGAGAATTTTTCCTGGAGGGATTCTAGAAAGCATTGTCATATTTCTGTCTCCATTAGCTCACTTTTCAACGACAAGGGTGCTGGAAGAAACCTTGGCGAGGGAAGTATATGGCTGGAAATACTTGGACCTGTTTCTAGTCTTTAAAATCTCATCCTCCCCATAAGCGGCATGGCAATTCTAGGTGGTAGGATGTGCACAGCAACCCTAACTCTACATATTGCTCACAATTGCCCCAGAATGGTTGTTCCAAAGTCTGAAGTCTTTACAAGTAGGCAAAGTTTTGTGCCTATGCCTCAGATTCTGTGTCTGCTACCCATCTTAGGGTGCCACCTGCCCGCCCCACATCAGACAGCCACAGTATCCTTGCTCTCACTCTGTCCTCTTTCAAATCATGCTCTCAGGAAAGAAACTGGCTCCTTCCTACTAAAGTATAAATGACTGATAAGAGGAATCAGTCATTTACTGATAGATGTTTGCTTTTAACTAGTACAGAGCAGAAGCTTAATTCCATGGGAAAAGATGATGGAACTAATGGTGGGGACAGGAGTGGAGGAGCTTCCTGGGTAGAAAAGACCTTCTTGATATTCCTTAAACAAGACCCAGTGCTTTGGAAAGACCACTGCACCAAACAGGGACACTTTTTGGGGGGAGAAGGGGGGGCTTAACACTCAATCTCTGAGGGAATATAGTGCAAGTGCATGTACTCATGCATTTTGCAGCATTTCACCCATTTGGAATATAATTCTTGTATTGGCTAATGTGATTTCTGGTATTTCTTAAATGCAAACCATTAAATCACATGATCTTATCTAATAGGTTTTTTTGGGGGGTGCTTCTTGATTAGGTAATTTGGAACACCTCTTTAAATACAGCTAGAAAATAAAACCAATTTGTAAAGCCACATTTGCATATGATGCCAACCTCACACATCTGTGTATCCCAAAACCCAAATATGCCTCACCAATATGCCCGTCTTTAAGAAAATCATGTTAAAATTTGCATCAAACTTCAGCTTCCTCTATATGACAAAACCATGAACAAAGGTTTCCAATTATTCTTTTGTCTTCAGACATTTAGTAATATAAAATACCTATTTTTATGCTGAAATGTTTATACAAGTTTATTAATAGCAAGTACAACTAACTGGCGGCATGCCTTGTGACACATTTTGATATATTAGCCATGCTTCTGGGTAAAGGCTAGTCTGAAACTCCTTATCTTTTGCAGTCTCTCTGGGATCAGTAAAAGAAAAAAATGCTTCAGAAGTGGGACTGTAAATATGTATATTTTGTATAGCCCGTGTACCTACTTTGTATAGAAAAATAATTTTAAAAAATTTGAACTGAAGGGGGGTAAAATAAGGAGGTCATGAAGTTTTTTGCATTTTTATTTAAATGAAGGAATTCCAAATAACTCACCTGCAGAATTTTAGCACAAAAATAGCCATTATAAATTGTTCAAATTCTAAATAATCTTTCTTGAAGAGAAGGTAACTTCTATCTCAGTTATAGGATTATTTTTTGGTTTTGTTTTATTTTTGCAGTCCTGTTTCTCTGCAGTGATGTTAGGGACTATTGCTAGAACAGATTACTACAAAAAAGATTATATTCTGGAAGAAAAATAACTGACGTATATAACTGATTAAAGTATTGCCATTTAAATTACACATCAAGGGCATGTACTATGCAGGCACAGATTTTTCCGGTTCATTTATTTTTCTTTATTGCAGTGGATTGATTTGATAGATGTGTTAATTCGAGAAATACATTTGCTGTACATATTATTTAATAAACTTTATTCAGAATTATGTGGCATATGTTTGTCTTTACTTTGTTTCTTCCTTTCCTTGCCACACTTCTCAAGAGAAGCTTCTATTCACTGGTTTGATTTCTTGTGCACTTCCTTTTCCTCTTTTTTTTAAAGATTTATTTATTTATTCATACAAGAGCTGGGGCACAGGCCAGAGATGTGGGGGGTGAGAGGATTCACCAGAGACAGAGTGGGGAACAGAACAGGAAGACTGACTGAAATACACTGCTGAGGGGAGCAGCGGGATAGTCAGGAAAGGTCTGCCACACCATGTGGGTTGGTCCCTGGCCAGGGATCAAACTCTTGCTGCAGAGGCTGTGGATTGCTTCATAGTGCGGTGCTTAACCCCTTGCGCCACCAGGGAGGCCCTCCTTCTCCATTTTTGATTACTTACCATCTGGCTTTTACTCTGCTCCTTGAAGACACCACTTATCTTTCTGTTTTCTCAGTAAACTAACTCCTGTGGCCCTCTGTGATTTAACTGATTCCTGTTGGCCGTCTCACCAGTATTTCTAAAATGTTTTTATTCTAATAATAAAATTAATGCATGTCTTCAAAAACATGGGTGAAATATTGCGTATAATGGGTCTTGATTTGCTCCACCAAACATGGGAGTAGGAAATGACCTAGCACTTAGTTTTTCTAAATCAGATCAAATCTGGCTGAACCTTTTCTTACTATGGTGGGCGAAAATGCAGTCTGTCCTTTTTTTTCCTCCCAATCCAAGTGCAGCAGGGCTGTGGCACTGGACCCCCCAGTGCCCACTGACGTCAGTGCTTGTCACCACCCCCATCTCGGTTTAGGGTGGGACCTGCTGCCCACAGGGCCTGGGCTGTGCCAGAACAGAAAACCCCAACTCCACCCTCCTGCCTGGTCCTGTGCTCCACCTTCAGATCACAGCACTGGTTTGTACTGCTGCCTCTTTGGGCTTAGGCCTCAAACTGTCTGGGAAGAGGGTTGTCTCCCAGGCTTCTAGCAGCCTTAATCCCACACCCTGAGTCACAGGCACATCCTCCGTCCCATCCAGTAAGTCCATCAGCAGTTCCATCAAAATAGAGTTAGGGGCCTCCCTGGTGGCGCAGCGGTTGAGCGCTGGGTTGTGAAGCTGCCTGCAGCCTCTGCAGCGCCGGTTCAATCCCCGGCTGCTCCCCGGCCACCGGAGGAGGGTCCCGCATGGCACGCAGACCTCTCCTACCGCCCGCTCTGGCTCTGGTGAATTCTCTCACCCTCCTGCACTTCTGACTGTACCCAGTGCTTGTATAAATAAATAAATAAATTTTAAAAAATAAATAAAGTGCATTAAAAAAAAATAGAATTCCTCTATTTAATACCTCTGCCACCATAGTGCGAGCCATTTCCTCTCCCCCCCCCCCCCACCGGTCGTTGTAATAACTTTCTAAATGGTCTCCCTACCTCTTCCCTTGCCCTCTTTAATCTTAACACAGCAGCAAGTGATCATTTTAAAGTTGATCCAAAACCCTCTAGTGGTTTCTCCCAGAGTGGCATACCGACCTCAAGTCCAGAGGCATAGCACCCCGCCCCTCCCTTCCCTTGGCTCTTTGCTCATTGTTCTGTCCAGCCATGTGTTCCTCACGCTCAATTACCCGTGCCCAGAAAACACTTCCTGCAAGATCTGTGTGGATTTCTTTCTCCTTTTAGGCCTTGATGGCACCTTCTCAATGAGGCTCTTGACTCACCTTACGCATAATATATTTCCTCTGTGTCTCCACCCTGCTCTTCCCCTATGTTCCTCCATAATACCAATTTCCGATACTTGTTTTCTCAAATGTTCATAAAATCATGAGAGTGATGACTGTTTTACTATTACATGCCCAGCCCCAAGAAGAGTGCTTACCAGTTGATAGTCATTCTTTTGTTGATCAAATAAGTGAACATATTAAAGAATGGACCTGCAAGGTAGGTAAAGTTTCAGGCTTTTCTGCCCTCCTGCCATCAGCATTGATGATGGATCCCCGCGATCCTGAATGCATGCCTGATGGCGGGCACCTGGAGTAGGGTGTGGGCATGTGTAGGTGGGTACTACACCTGGGCTGAGACTGGGCTTTATGGGCCGTGTCACTGGGATACCAGTGGAACTGCAGAACCACGGGAAGAGAGTGAACGAGACCAGAAGGGGAGCAGCGGAGAAGCAGAGACCACGAGAGAACACCGGAGAGCTCAGAACCAGTGAAGATTTGCTGGGGGCTGGGAGGCCTGCCAGCCCCCCAGGCACCCTGCCTGCCATGTACCTGGTAAATCCCAATGAAAGTCTAAAAAATGCCACCAGGACTCCTTTACCCATCTGCTCAGATCATAGAGAACCTGCTCCGTCCCTTCCTGCTGCTACAGTACCCCATCCAGGCCAGTGACCCCAGAACTCAGAATGCTAACACCTATAATAGAAAGAAGGGAATTATCTTGCCATCTTCTTACAGCAGCAGAAATAGAACAGAAAGTATTCTGGGCTCATACAAATACAGAGGGCAAAAGTTTTCCATAATTACCGTCATCTCCCAGGAGAATCATCCCTAACTAGCTCCAAGTCGTATTCTCTGCATACTAAGCGCAAATCAATAAACAAATGCTTTACATTGTCTTATACACATTTTCCCCTTTAAAAACAGGGCTTGGTCATGTATTCATAATTTATTTAACCAACGATGCCAATAATTGAGGTTATTGCCAACTGATTACCTTAAGAAACAAAGCTGCATTGAGTAGAATTACGGGCTCAAAAAGCAGAAGCATTTCAGACCTTAGCAAGATATTGCCAAATTCTCATCCCCGCCAAATTACACCGATTTTGACTTCTGCCAAGTCCAGGAGAGTGGTGATCCCTACCCTGCTGTTATTTTCTCTCAACGCCTGCTCCTTCGGAGAGGGGATCCTGAGGAAAATAATTTGGTGCAAAACATCAACTATGAGCGCACTTTTCAATGATGAATTGTAGAAACCTAAGGCCACACGCTGGCTTGTCTCGAGTCCTCACTGGGATGGGGAAATTAGGAGCTAGCCTCCGGCAGGAATGAATCCAGAGCCTCAAATTTTGCCTGTGTTCGTTCTCTCCTTGACTCTGTTGATCTTGTCTGACTGCATTTTCATGTCCCGAAGCAGCAATAGTTAACAGCTGTGGCAGCGCCGGCCTCATTCTTCCAGTACTGACTCTGGACCGGGCAGAGGGCCGCCCTGAAGACAATTCCTGACACCAGCAGCCCCACCCTGGGTATCTACCTTTTCTGGGACTAATGTCTTTGGCCAAGGAGGGTGAGTATGATTGGCAGCCCCACAGCTGCATGGCATGGGGGAGAGAGAGGTAGGGGCGGGGGGTGTACTGCCAGGAGAAGGGACGAGCCAGCTGGAGAACTCAGGTCCACTGTGCAAACTGGGCTTTGCGCGTGACTGAAAAACCTTGGAAGATGAAACTCTATTGTCCCATCCCGGTACAAACGTCAGGGTGGCTGGGTGCCGAGGCCTACTGGGTGCCGAAGGCCTGCTGCCTATGGTCTTAAGAACACAGCAGAGTAGGCTATCCACCCAGACCAGGGGCGTGGCACAACTATCATAAGCTAAAAATATTAGGACTCCAGTGCAAGGGGGAAGGATTAATGTCTCAAAAGTCATGGAATGTTTGGATGAGTTGTACTTGAGTGCCTTTGCCAGGTCTCAGCACATGGGACTTGAGCTGACTCTGGAGCCCTTGACGGCCTGACCATGCTCCTTATGTGGTGCTGCAGACCTACAAAGCTCAAAGACCATGCAGAATTTTGCACTTCACCAAATTATCTGTATCTGTTAAGATTGACTTTACCTGCTGTAGCAGATGGGCCAACAAATGGCAGCTTCTGTGACTCGAGGTGTGCTCACCTCACAGAAAAGGAGCCAGGGCTCTTTCTCGCTCTCTCTTTTTTTTTTCAATATTTATTTATTTATGCATACAAGAGCTGGGGCATAGGTCAGAGGTGAAGGGGGGCAAGATGATTCATCAGAGACAGAGTGGGGAGCAGAACAGGCAGATTTACTGAAATACACTGCTGAGCAGAGCAGCGGGCGAGACAGGAGAGGTCTGCTGCGCCATGTGGGTCAGCTCCCCGGCTGGGGATCCAATTTATGCTGCAGCAGCTGTGGATTGCTTCATAGTGCTGACGCTTAATCATTTTGCGCCACCAGGGAGGCCCCCAGGCCTCTTTCTGACACACCCGTGGTCTTCTTTAGTGATCACAAGCAGGCTGCCAGGGCAGCTCCCAGCATGCTGTCCTCACATCCCTGCATGCACTGTCTGGAAGTGGGGAGCAGCACAGGACAGTTTTTCTCTGTGCGTGCTTTCCTCTAGGCAAGAAACTTTCCCAAACGCCCTCAGCAGACATCTCCCCACATCTTGGCTGGAGTCAATCACCTTGACAACTCCTAGCTGTGCAGAAACTGCAAAGGGAGATGGGAAAGGCAGAGAAGTTGGGCAGTGGCTTTGGGTAGTCAATGGCAGCAAGCAGCACAGCCAGCCCTTTCAGAGAACCTGTTCTCTCTCTGGCTTCCGTGAGATCTTCCTGTATTTTCTCCCACTGTTTCTTTGATTTCTTCCCTGGTTTCTCTTTCTTTTTTTTATTTTAAAGACTTATTTATTTTTTAATACAAGAATTGGGGTACAGGCCAGAGATGTGGAGGGGGGGCAAGAGAATTCACCAGAGACAGAGCAGGGAACAGAACAGGCAGACAGACCGAAGTACACTGCTGAGGGGAGCAGCAGGCGAGACAGGAGAGGTCTGTCCCTCCATGTGGGTTTCTCCCTGGCCGGCCGGGAATCGAACTCATGCTGTAGTGGCTGCAGATTGCTTCATAGGTTGAGTCTTAACCCCTGTGCCACCAGGGAGGCCCCCTGGTTTCTCTTTCTCCCTTCTTCCCTTAAATATGGATGTTCCTCTTGTTCTTCTATGGTCTGTTTCCTGGGCGAGCTTACATTTCCCCCTAACTTTAGCCTTTACCCATAGGCAAAATTACTTTATTTCACTTTTTAAATTATTTGATGTAAAGTTATTAGTAACACTGCCGCGGAC